ATATTTACATTTTTTAAATGTTTTTTTCTTCAAATTCACTCACTTTCAGTCTGTCCAGAGTGGATGTTTTAAATCAGCACTAAAAACAAAAAGAGGAAAATTCATTACAATTTGAACATGGAGCTGATCAACTGTGTATTTTAAGTCACCTTATAATTTGTGTAGAGCTAATGGCATCTGTATGAGTACAGATGATGATCTGGTTAAAGATCAATAAAATAAATAAATAAATACATTTTGATCTGTCTAGACAGGGTTTCAGTCTAAATAAAACAATGATAATTATACATATTAACACATATTAAGATATTGTGTATATAGGTAACTATATATGTGTCCAGATAAACATTAAACTATCTGACTGATATTTTACAGATTTGGTCATAGCAGAGAAATCTGTTCAGGAAATCTGTTCAAGGCAACAGTCTGATCACAAGCAGAAGAATAAAGGCAACTCTCACTAATTGTGTAGTGAGTAACTGTGAACTAACTGTGCACTAACTGCACAATTACTCTCTCAAACTCATCTTTCTCTCATACATCAGGAACTAGACCTGAATTTGAAACTCAGAGAGCAGCAAGAAAAAAAAGAAAAAAAAAAAATTAATCCAGAAACACTAAATAACTTGATCCTTTTTATAATATAATAGCAATTAACATATTAAAATACATGAAATACGTAGAGAGAATAATACTCACAGAGCACAAGAGGACGTTGACTGAGCTCCATACTGACTGAATGATGACAGACAGGTAAAGACACAGACTGTGTTAAAGCCTCCAGACTTCCTGAAACCTGCAGTCAGATCTTTAGAAACATCACGACAGATTAAAGACATACAATTGTACCTCATGTGTTACAGGAAATCATGTAGATAATCATGTAGCATGTTTTCAGAAAATGTGACACTGACTAACATGCAAGTTTTCTACAGATGTTGTAGCAGGATTGAAGGATTCTTTGTAGTTTTGTTTCAAGAGCAACCATACATTTGTGCTGTTTTACTTTCTTTTACAGTATATTCATTCATTCATTCATTCATTCATGAGAAAGACTCCTGCAGACATCTTTGCAATTTATATTGATATATAAATATTTATATGCTATATTTATTATGTTCTAAAATTTGGGGAGTTGAAATCTTGCACCTGTTGTTTTATCAGCTTGAAAGCCAACAGCTGAGTGGGAAAGAGACACAAAGTAACTAAACCCCTGAAAATAATCATCATGCCTCAGCCTCTGAGCCTCTAAAATAACCTGATTTCATCAGACTATTTTACAAAAAAAGCAATGACGGGAGAAACTGGTCATTTGAGAGATTTCTGTAATTGACTCTGCGAATGGTCAATGCTACTAGTTATTTTCAGGGTTTAACAATGTAACCACTATTTCATCATTAGTGTTTGTGAAAATATTTAGAAAGATTTTGATCTTTTAACATCAGTATGGTGTATTCAGTAACATCTAGCTGTTGTGAGATGTTAGAACATGTTTAATTTCAGGAACTATTCAAAAGTTGAGATTCTCTTTGAGGGTGTAACTATAGGCGTAGTTGAAATTCAAAGTTATGCAGAGGAAATGCAGCATTGAACAGTTTTCTTCACTTTGTTAAGTTCAGGGCTCAGTGACTCGACTCCTGAGGCTGGAATAGTTTTTGAGGAATTAAGACGGGTAGCACTTGCACTAGGTATATAGGCAAATATTTTTTCATCGCTTACATCTATGTTAATCTATGAATGAGAAAATAATATTTGGTTGCTCTTAAATGTGAGCTGGCAAACAGCACAACAGCTAACATCTACACTGACTTCCATTATGCCTTTGGTGTTGTGCATGACTTTGGAGCAGGTTGGCAGCAAACACTCACCTTGATGGGTCACCAGGTTCAGTTTAGAGTAAACAGTGTCAGAACCTTCACTGGTTTTCCCTAAAAAATGCCAACAGTAACATTAATATCACACAGTGCTTACTGTGTGTTCAACAGTGATATGAAATACATAAATATTTTTATAATATCTCTACAGCTTCTACAGAGAGAATAAAATAATTTATTTTTACCAAATTACCTCGAAATCAACATACTGCAATGACCTTGTTATGGTTATGATCTGTTTTGGTTTAGTTTGCTGTGTCTCCTTTCTCCTGCCTTGTTTGTTTCCATGGTTTTTGATTAATTAGCTCCACACCTGTTTCTGTTTCTCCCTGATTACGTTCCCAGTATTTAAAACCTGTGTTCTCCAATATTCCTTTGTCTGCTATTGAGTTGTTTCCCCTATGTGCTACGTGAGTGTCCTGGCTCCACCAGGCTCCCTTGTCCCTCTGACTCTGCCTTGGTCAATTGTCGACAATCCGCCGCCTCGGGACTCCACTCCTCTGGCTTCGCCTCGTCACTCCGTCCCTCTGGCTCTGTCAGGCTCCTCCTTCCCTCCGGCTCTGCCTCCATCCTCAGTCGCTCCGACTCCGCAGCGGTCTTCCGGAGCTCCGCCTCCGCCACGGTCGCCTGAGCCTTAAGCTCCGCCTTGGCTCTCCGGATCCTCAGTGTCATGGTTTAGTTTGCTGTGTCTCCTTTCTCCTGCCTTGTTTGTTTCCATGGTTTTTGATTAATTAGCTCCACACCTGTTTCTGTTTCTCCCTGATTACGTTCCAGTATTTAAAACCTGTGTTCTCCATTATTCCCTTGTCTGCTATTGAGTTGATTCCCCAATGTGCTACGTGAGTGTCTGTCTGCCCTGTATTTCCCCGAAGCGAAGATGAAAAAGACTATATTTTGAGTTTACTCCTGTGTCTCCTCGTTTCCTCGTTCCACCTCCATAGCCATTACGTGACAGACCTTTAGGATCAGGTGAATTTCACAGTGAACAGCCACAAACAGGTGTTTAGAAAAATACCGTGGTGGTTTTTGTTGCTGTTTACTGATGTGGAAGAAATTAAAATCAAAGGGACTTTTTACCCCAGAGGTCTTTAGCGCTGCTGATCATAAAACCATTGTTTCAGTTTACCTTTGTTTTCTTTATTTTTCTTCTGTTTCTCTGTAGATTTGAGTTCAATCTCAGCATAGGTGACGTCAGTAGGTCCGCTTGCACAATCTACAGTGAACAACAAAGAAAGGAATAAGACCTTTGTTTTAAATGACACAGTGAAATGAAAAACAAAGATGGATTTGAGTATTTAGAAAATAACTACTGCATTATTAAATGATCAACATTACATAAGTAATTTCTGTAACATCATTAGTTACCTGTGCTGAAGTCTTTATTAATTGTTGCATCAACAGAGTCATAAATATGAGCAGTTCCTGTAATAAATTGATGCATGGATTAATTCCCAATAATAATAAACGGTAACACTTTACGGTAAGGGTACATGAATTACCACTAGAGATCCTCATCCTCTCTGACCGTGACTGCAACATCTACTACCCTTTTATGAACACCAATACCATGTTCTGCGCTAGATACCTGGAGGGAGGAAATGACTCTTGCCAGGTAGAGGATAACAGGAAATAGCATAGTTGCATGAATATTATATGAGACTAACTTAATAATAACCAGTTATTATGTTTGTCTTCTTCAGGGTGACTCTGGGGGCCCTGTGGTGTGCAATGGTGAACTGCAGGGTATTGTGTCCTGGGGTTATGGCTGTGCTGAGAAGAATCTATGTGTGTGTGTCTATGGCAAGGTAATAGAGTTGCTGTTGTTTAATAATTGGTACAATATGTTTGGTTTTAAATGAAGGACTTATATGATTTTTATGAATTCTCTTTTCTTTAAGGTCTGCGCGTTCAGCCAATGGATCACCAACACTATGAATAACAACTAAAGCTGATACGAAATCACATACAGCCTCCAAATCTTCAATCCATTAGTTTTTCTTTTTGTAGATAAAAACCCGTGTGAAAAAAACATTTACAAATATTCTGCTTTCTATAATTGCTTTATTCATATTTGTTAACAAACACGGTAACACTTTACGGTAAGGGTACATTAATTACCATGAATTCATGCATAAATTAATGTGTGAATTATGCATTACTTCATGCATTAATATCTCATGAATTATCAGGAAATAACATGAGTTCAAAGTATTTCATTAATGACTCCATGCACGAAATAATGCTTTTTTGAATCATGTACCATAAGCATAGCTTTATCCACAATGGATAGTGAAGCCCTTGTTTTTTTTGTAAACAAAGAAAACATCATGATCATGCGTAATAAATCATAAATCATGATGATGTACTCACCTTACTTAATGTCTTAATTAAGGTGTTGTTCATCCATGAAGTCATGAATGAAAGACTTTGAACTCATGTTAGTTCCTGATAATTCATGAGATATTAATGCATGAAGTAATGCATAATTCACACATTAATTTATGCATGAATTCATGGTAATTCATGTACCCTTACTGTAAAGTGTTACCTAATAAACCTTTTGTCATGCATCTTATTAATTTAAGAAAAAAAAAATATATATATATATATATATTGTTTTCATATTGACACTGCCTTAAAAAGATAAAGCACTCAGCTAAATGTTTATTGTGCTATTAACATTCTAAATTACATATGATATATTTTGTTATGCATTACTGATAATGAAATAAAACCAAATTACATCTTATTGAAATATAAATGTCAGTTACACAAATATCATATTACACTTTATAAATTATTTAGTCAGATCTGTCTTGTCAGTTGAAAGTTATTTCTAAGTGTCTTCAATCACAGCTTGTAAAGATTTATGGGTGTTTATTTTTGGTTAACAGGTAAAGACTGACCAGACAGCAGTGTGTTGTATCCTGTTTCACTCTGGTTCTGCTCTGATGTCTTCTGCTGTTGACAGACTCTAGAGGGAGACTGAGATCTTACACCTAGTCAAACACACAATGATTATGTAAAAGTTTTAAAATCGACTTTTAATCTCCTTCATGCATACATGTTTGAGAGTGACAGAGTGTTTAGTGGCATGCTTTTATTTATCGCATTATGGATTTGTTAAAAACTGTAATTTGCTTCACCGTCTGCTGTCTTAATAGGCTGCATCCTACTGTAACTAAAATGGAATCAAATAATTGTCTAATTTAGAGCACTTTACATACACAGTAAATATGTGCATCATACACATATCGGGGAAGATGGAGGACTCAAATCTACATGACAGTTGATTTAAATATTGATGGCATTAATTTTTTTTCAATTCTTTTTAGCCTAAGCCCCCAGCCTGTCCAGATGGAAACTGCCCAGAAAGCTTCTAAAACCAGACAACATACCAGCTTTGGAGACCAGACAACCAGCTTAATGCTGTTGTAGGATGGCAGCTCACAAGGTTTAGAAACAAAGTTAGTGTCTGCAAATGTGTATTGAATTTTAATATGGCAGATGATGAACCTTTGTTGTTTCTGTAGCGCCACAGCAGGACCAAGAAGACGATGATCAAAAATGTGAAAATCAGTCCTGCAGTCACTCCAATTATCATGGGATTGAGATAATCAGAACTTGATGTTCTGGAGGAAGCTGAGATACATAGATTTTCCATTTAGATGAGTGCTGTATACATAAACATTTGAATAGTGTTTATTGATGTACAGTCTCACTTCTGACTGAGATCCAGCTCTTGGGTGACTCTCCTCTCTCTGGTTGTTTGCAGTAGTAGAAACCCTCATGTGACTTTGAGACAGTAGAGATGATCATCTCTGTATTTTGACTCTGGATGAGTGATCCATCTTTATAGAAATCAGCTCTGAGGTTTGGTGGGGTTGAATGTTGATATAAACAGCGTAGAGTCAGAGTATCTCCTTCAGTTACAGGATGAACAGGACTCTCCAGAATCACACCAACTACAGAAAAAGATTGTGTGCTGATTGTAAATAGTATATGGCAACTATATGGTAACAAATATTTAATAATCATAATAATAATAATAGTAATCATCATCATCGTCATCATAATCATTATAATAACGATTTTAACATTTTCTTACAAAACTACTTTTTTGGTATCTTTTTTTTTTGTGACGTGACATGTGGCCATGGTGACCCATACTTGGAATTAGTGTTCTGCATTTAACCCATCCAAAGTGCACACACACAGCAGTGAACACACACACACACCGTGAACACACACCTGGAGCAGTGGGCAGCCATTTATGCTGCAGCGCCCGGGGAGCAGTTGGGGGTTCGGTACCTTGCTCAAGGGCACCTCAGTCGTGGTATTGAAGGTGGAAGAGAGCGCTGTACATTCACTCCCCCCACCTACAATCACTGCCAGTACGAGACTCAAACCCGCAACCTTTGGGTTACGAGTCCGATTCTCTAACAATTAGGCCACGACTTCCCAAAAAACACTCAATCTCTTGCCCATTGAGTGTACATTCCCCCCCCCCACCTACAATCCCTGCCGGTACGAGACTCAAACCCGCAACCTTTGGGTTACGAGTCCGATTCTCTAACAATTAGGCCACGACTTCCCAAAAAACACTCAATCTCTTGCCCATTGAGTGTTTTTTGTTTGTTTGTTTGTTTGTAGTGAACACTGATGCTTCCTGTTTTTGTTTAATCAACTACTTTGTGTATTGTATTGTAAATGAAAATAATAATTAAAAAAATCTTAAATGAAAAAAAAAAATTAATACATAAATACAGACTCACGTTGTACAGTGATATTAACAGGTTGACTGATCTCTCCAGATTCAGACTGACACCAGTACACTGCAGTGTCTGATGTGATGGTGGAGCTGGTTGTACATGTAGATCCTGTTTGTGATCCCCAGCGTGATGAACAATCGATCAGTCCCAAAATGTCTGAGTATCTTCTCACTCTCCATCTATCAGAGTTACTCTGGTTCACACAGCTCAGAGAGAGAGAGACAGATGTGAAGTGTTGAGTTCTGCTGGGACTGACGATCAGAGAGACTGGAGGAGAAACACCTGAGGAGACAATTACAGCTACAATTTGGAAATCAAGACAGTTTTATTGATATAACACTTTACACAACGTACACTTCTTTTGTTTCAAAACAAAATAACATATTTGTAACATATTTGTAATTATGCCATCAGCAAGCAAGCCGAAGACAACTGAGACAACTTCATGAAGTGTTAGTACTTGAGGAAAAAACCTTCGGAGAAACCATTATTATTTAATTATATGATTTAATCCACCATTATCTCAATTCTAATTAAGTACAAATTAATTGTATTCAGTTGTGTTGTGGGCAATAAAACAGTCCAGTACATTATTGTTAAACAAATTTTTCACTGAAATAATGAAAATGTCTGTGCCACCCCGAGTTGCTGCTGACCCCTGCCTCCACCGTTGATTTAACCCCTGCTAGTAGAGAAAGCATCTTTCTTCATTGACACAATTGAATAGCAGCCTTGTGATTCAGTTTGAACTCACCAGTGACCCATATTAACTGTGTGTTGCTGTTCCATGTGTCATAGACTCGTTTTCCTCTCTCTGCTGTGCACACATAAACTCCTGTTTGATTTAGAGCAACAGAACTGACCGTGTAGTTTCCTCCAGCTCCTCTGCTGCTGTCTGAGAGTGTCTTATAATGATGACTTCTGTAGTCTGTAAAAAGTGAAAGTGTAGTTACCTCAAGAAAAGAGGAGTTATATTTACATGAGACTTTTAAATCACTTTTGTTGGTATAATCAGCATTCAGACTAGTTTATCTGTTTGATTTTTAATCTCTATAATATTTTTTGATGAAACCAGTTCATTCAGATGTTACCACATGAAGCACATTATATCTTACCTGATGAAACAGTTACAGTGTACCAGCTGAATGTCCAGCCTGTAGAGGAGCCTTTAACCTCACAGATCAGAGTCACTGGATCTCCTTCAGTCAACCACTTCTGTGGAGAAACACTTAAAACTGCTCTGGGTTTATCTGAAATAGAGACATCGCTCATTAACCACGTGTAAACGTGTGTGTGTATATATGAAGAAAAGATGAAACTCACCTGATACTGTCAGTGTAACTGCATCACTGATGTTTGATGTTCGTGATCCTCCTCTCTCTTCTCCATAACAGGAGTATTTACCTGCATCAGACATTCTGACAAACCAAACTGTGTGTTCCTGTAGTTCACTAAAAACACTGACTGAACCGTCTTTATACCAACTGTACTGCCAGCTAGTGACTGCTTCACCATCAATGTCACATCTGAGAGTGACTGTCTCTCCTCTGAATACATGTTGATCAGGTTTAATGCTCACTTTGGGTTTTGGTCTTTCTGTACAGTGACAACAATTCACAATGAAAATAATGTGCTGTTTTTACTATATGATCAGTTTCTTGATTTTAAAGCACACATGCTAAATCAGGTTAGACTGAAGTGTTGTTCTCTAGCTGTTATAGTCACTTATTCAGTGTCTTGTGAATTATTTCCATTGTGTTCTCTGAGCAGATCATTATTTGATGAAAATACTTGCCGTATATTGTCACTGTTACTGGTTCACTGTAATTTGTGTAAAGTCCACTTCTTCGTGCTCTGCACCTGTACTCTCCTCCATCAGAGACTTTCACTGAATCGATTGTTTTATTTGCAGCTTCAGTAGATTCAGTGTTTGAGTCTTTACTCCAGATAAACTCCCATTCATCCCATGACTGATCCACCTCACATCTCAGAGTAACTGAGTCTCCAGTGAACAATGAACTCTGTGGCTTAACAGTCAGAGTTGGTTTGAGAAAATCTGGAAACATAAAATCAATGAGAGTGTGAGTTGTGAAACCTTTTCTATAGAAGATTGAATTGAATTCAAGTTTATTTGTATAGCACTTTTCACGATACAAATAGTTGCAAAGCAGCTTTACTGAAAATTAAGTTTCTACAATATATTTAGTAGTAGCTTGTCAGTGGTGACTATGTCAAATTGATGTACACATGGCATAAATGTATGGTAAAATTCAGTTAATGACAATCAAACAGACGATTAACACTATTAACAGCAATAATTATATGTTGCAATCAAACTTGTAGCAAAATTTGGTAGAAGGTATTGTCTTCTCACTGATAGTGCTTCTTGATTTCACAGTCAGTGAATGAAATACAGCTGTAATCTGCAATTACAGTGTCAACATTCAGCACAAAGATTTAAAGGACCACAAAGAGCAGAGAGCTCCCAAGGTTGGGTTTATATTCACAACTTTTAGTTTAGTAGCCCAGAGCCAAACAAGCCCCAGCTATAACAGAAATCAAAGAGACAAACCATTTACCAAAGTGTTGTGCAAGCACAGCATTTTCTACTAAAATTCAAAATGGCAAAGAGGCAGACAATGGAAAAACTGGCATAATTTCTGACCAATAGGTGGTGCTGTCACCAAACAAGGAACCAATAAGGCCTACAAAGTTTATTTCAATACAGGTAAATGCAGGGTCACTTGCAGAATTTCAGCTGAGGGTATGCACAGTGACAGGTTTTGTTGTTGTTTTAAATGAAGGTGTCTACAGACACGTAAAAAAAAAAAAACACTTTTAACCCTGAAAAATAAAAACAAGCAACGGAATGGTCAAATACATCAATTGCTTGTTCGCATAATATGATACCAATTAAAAAACAGCATTGGTGGACACAAAAACCGATTCGGTGTGAATTGTGTTTTTCACAGGACTCAGCACATCACTAGCTAATATTTTTAAAGTAACTTTCAAAATTTAATCTTTTGTTTCTGTTGTTTGTAGTCGATTGTCCACTTCATCCAGCACAGTTTGGTCTCTGTGCTTTTGTTTGTTTTACTGACTCAAGAAACCGCTTCAGATGACTCAACACAGTCGGGGAACCAACTGTTAGTGTAATCTATTCTACGCAAATCATAAACACTTCTTTTTAGGCAAGTACCAGATATGGGTGTCATGTCATGAAATATTTTAATACGACTGAATTTATATTTAACGTGATCAGTTTAATAAAAACATTGCAAGTCACTAATTATTTAATTATTTTGTTTCATTCCCACGGTTATACAGCAAATAAATTATATAGCCTACCAAAAGCCAGCAAAGAACATTTATTATCACGTTATCACTGACTACAGTCTAGCACAAAAAAACTCCTCTTATTATCAATGTAGTTGCCTACGCTGTCAAACGAATCTCGCCACTGGGTAAATGTGTTGCTGAGTTACATCATAACTACTTTGTTAGGGTTTAATTTGGTTATGGTTGTAAAAATCAATAATCCATACAATCATTTTTATGAGACTTGGTTTCCCAGAGGAAAGAAAAAGCAAAAGTGAGATCTCTTTAACATCTCAAATATTTCTTCTAGACAGAAATAAGGTTACTTTAAGATCGAATGGAGACTTTTGCTTGAGTCTCCAGAGACAAAAACTCTGGTAACACTCTCACATTTATAGGTTTAAAGGGGGGCTTGACCAAAAAAGTTTGAGAACCACACGGATATCCGGGAGGAGACAGGAGGGACCCGGAGCAAGAGGAGCACAGCAGGACCCAGGCCGCAGCCATGATGTCGACCCACGGTGGAGCCGATGGAGGGAGGAGCCATGGTGGAGGAAGGGCTGACGACTCCAGGGGGCCGAGCAACGGCAGCGGAGCAGGTGGCGGAGGAGCCCGAGAGCCGATGAGCCAGGGCGACGGGGAGGATCCGGGGGACCAAGGTGGAGCAGATGGCACCGGCGACCGAGGCAGAGATGGGGATCCAGATGGCCACGGTGGAGCCGGAGCGACAGAGGACTGAGGAAGAGCCGAAGGGATGGAGGAGTCTGACGGAGCCGGAGGGATGAGGCGCAGCCAGAGGAGTGGAGTCCCGAGGCGCAGGATGGTCAATGACAGACCAAGGCAGAGCTGGAGGGACGAGGGAGCCCAGCGGAACCAGTGGACAGATGGGCCACGGCGGAGAGATTAACTGACAGTCACCACTGATAAGCTACCACTAAATATTGTAGAAACTTAATTTGCTGTAAAGTTGCTTTGCAACGATTTGTATCGTGAAAAGCGCTATACAAATAAACTTGAATTAAATTGAATTGAATTAAATGGCATATGACACAATCCTAGGCTGTTTGGCTGTTTATTTGTTGTATACTATCTGTTATTTACCTTATGTAAAGTGTCCTTGGGTGTTTGAAAGGCGCTATATAAATAAAATTTATTATTATTATTATTATTATTATTGATTAATAATACATATTATATGGTAGAAATGTTTAAGCTATTACTGAGATATTTGACTTGGTGCACACTTTGTTACGTTGTTGAGATCACTTCTGAAATTTGACAGATGTGAGAGCTCTCATATCTTTAGTTTAGCAGAAAAGTCTGAGCACAGTGTGTGATGATGATCTCTTCTAAAACTTTAAAGGAGAAAAAGTCTCTGTTTTATGTTGAAGTAAACTCATTTCTATCTAGAAGAAATATTTAAGATGTTAAAGAGACCTCATTTTTTTATTTCCTCTGCTTTTCTTTCCTCTGTGAAGTGCTGCATACAGTGCATTGAAGATAAATTTAAACTAATAACCCTTGATATTCTGAAGTGTAATGCTATAATTTAAATGATAGTTTCAGTATTTACAATATTAGTAAAAATGTTAAATTGTTAATAAATGTTAATATTTCTCCAAAAATAAAAGTGAAGACATCTGAAGACAAAGCTGATATCTCAATGAAACATATATGAGAATTAACCCTTCGTATCCTGAGCTAGGTGTAACACCTGTCAGAGCCATTAGCCTTGTAGGCAATGCATTGACGTCGAGGCACAACTGCACCTCAGAGAGCATGAGCTGCTCCTGTTCCCTTCTCCCTTGTCCAATTGTTTCCTGTCTCTGTCCCTACTGACCATTAAAGGTGCAAAACCCCCAATGTAACCAAAGAAAGAAAGAGCAACCATTGAGCAATAAAACATTTTTAAATAGTGTCTTGAAAGAGATTACAGGAAGACAATAAAGAAACCTCCTGTTTCTCACAGCCCATTCTCATTTTCTCCTTTCTCTTAGGCCCTGTTTACACTAGTGCGTTTTAGTTTTATAAAGGCATTTTAAAATGAAAACAATGCTTGTCTACACTGGTGTTTTCACTGCGTTTCAGAAATGATCTCCGTCTACACTACACAACCGAAAACGCATGTCACATGACCATTCACGCAGGTACAACCACAGAATGTATAGGTAGATTCCCTATTATTTAGATGGCGGACGCGTCTGCGTGCTTGGAGCGGTCGAATGGGGAATCTACCTATACATATCTATGGGTACAACAATGAGCATGATGTTTTCCCCAGAGTTTTCAAACTAAAACGGGGTCTGCAGCATTTTCAAAAGTCTCCGTTTTCAACCTCATAAACGTCGAAGTAGTGTAAACGGCAGGCGTAACCGTAGCAAAAAACACGCACTAGTGTAAACGGGGCCTTAGAATTTTCTCATGTCTCAATTGTGTCTACTTTTATTTCTCATAAGGAATCTTAGGAGAAACATCTGAGACACTGTTGTTACTAAAATGAGAAATATATGAGAATCACAACTAAGTCTCCTGAGCTTAGAAAGAGCAAACTCTTAGCAATAAAATATTCCTATAATGGAGTCTTGAAAGAGATTGAAGCAAGACAGTAAAGATATATTTTATGTTTCTTTCACCACATTCTCAGTTTTGACTTCTTTTTTTTTTCTCATCTCATTTGTGTCTACTTTTATTTTTTTAAGGAGAAACACCTAAAATGCTGTTGATATAAAATGAGAGATAAATAAGAATCACAACTAAGTCTCCTTGTCAGGGGATTCATCACAGTCACTTCAGTCACCATCCAGGATAATTACCCGATCACAGTCACCTGAGTTCTGATCACCCGCACCTGCTGTCACCAATCAAGCCACACTACAAATACACACACAGCACAATCACTCACTGTCCGGTCTACCGTTCACTTCTACGAACTGCTCTGGACTCTCTCTGCCAAATTCTCCTAGAACGAATTACCTGCTGTTCCTCCCGCGATCCTCCAACGACTCCTTGGAAACTGTTCCACGAACTCCAACGTAACCGGCGTCCGATCCTCACCATCAGAACTCAGATAAGCACCCTGGAACCATTCACTGTGTTGTCACTCACCTGTCTTTAACTCACCTATTCCAGTCATCCGCTTACCCAGTCAATAAACCATCCTGATTTGCACTTACCTGTTGTGTCTGGCCTTGCTTTGTAACACTCCTGAGCTTAGGAAGAGCAAACTCTGGGCAATACATTTTTCCCCTAATATCTGAAATTGAAAAATCACTCATTTATATTTGGGGCCGGTGCCACAAGGGTAAGTGTGAGGGGCATCGCCCCCTCAACAGGACAATCTGGCCCAATCAGTCAAGAACTAGCATTAATATTAAGTTAATATACAAACATTTTTGTTAAGGACAGTCTGTTTCACAAAGTCACATTTTAATTGACACTTTTGAGACATTCACCTACGTTCCCACACCACTAAGAATTTTTCCATGTTTAGAGGGCTAGATAATTTGCCATAGTTAATTACTTCACTCTATTCTTTTTGTTTGACATTGTTTGCAGTTTATGCTGTTTTAACTCAATATGCATCTGTTAAACAGGTCAAAATGAGTGTTACATCACTGAAGCAGTCAAAATGTGTGTTTTATAGTAAAGCAGACTCAATAAATTATATTTGGTGGTGGTAGTACAGTATCATGCTACCTTTTCTGTATTCATGGTAAAATCAGTTGAAATTGTGTATTTATATCAGGTGGTCTAAAACATGTTTGGGCCTATATCATGTATATCGAGTCAACATTTTGAATATGTTGGCTTAGGCAATTTTATTCAATGCCATCTTTGCTCTGTGGCTCTTTTTAGTTTCATAGTAGTGACAGGCTTGTTTACACCCACAAAAAATACGTGAATGACCTATTTCATGAGTAGTATAGAAAGAATAAGAAATTATAAAAACTCACCTGATACTGTCAGTGTAACTGCATCACTGATGTTTGATGTTCGTGATCCTCCTCTCTCTTCTCCATAACAGGAGTATTTACCTGCGACAGACTCAGTAACAGGACTGAATATGTGTTCCTGTAGTTCACTGAAAACACTGACTGAACCGTCTTTATACCAGCTGTACTGCCAGCTAGTGACTGCTTCACCATTAATGTCACATCTGAGAGTGACTGTCTCTCCTCTGAATACATGTTGATCAGGTTTAATGCTCACTTTGACTTTTGGTCTTTCTGTACAATGACAACAAATCACAATGAAAATAATGTGCTGTTTTTACTGTACGAACAGTTACTTGATTTTAAATCACACATGCTAAATTAGGTTAGACTGAAATGCTGTTATAATCACTGATTCAGTGTCTTGTGAATTATTTTCATTGTGTTCTCAAAGTAGTTCATTATGTGAGGAAAATACTTGCTGTATAATATTGTCACTGTTACTGGTTCACTGTAATGTGTGTAATATTCTCCTCTTCGTGCTCTGCACCTGTATTCTCCTCCATCAGAGACTTTCAGTGAATCGATTGTTTTAGTTGCAGCTTCAGCAGATTCAGTGTTTGAGTTTTTACTCCAGATAAACTCCAATCCATCCCATGACTGATCCACCTCACATCTCAGAGTAACTGAGTCTCCAGTGAACAATAAACTCTGTGGCTCAACAGTCAGAGTTGGTGTGGGAATATCTGTCAGTATAAAGTCACTGAGAATTTAGAAACATCAAGCCTAAGTGTTGAATGATTTTCAGCAGAAAATCTTGTCCTCTCATTGCTTAATAATTACTGTACTTTTATTTCATTTTCATTTGTTGTCACAACTCAGTCTTAAAATGGTGTATTTATAATCATAATAAAATGTAACACTTATTTCTCAACTCTCAGTTGGTTTGTAAGTTACTGCAGAATCAATATTAATATTAATATTAATCAATATATATCAAAAGCCACAGCTGCCTAATGGATAGAGAGTTGGACTTGTAACCCGAAGGTCGTGGGTTCGAGGCTCAGGTCCGGCAGGAATTGTCAGTGGGGGGAGTGAATAACCAGTGCTCTCTCCACCTTCAGTACCAAGACAGGTGAGACCCTTGAGCAAGGCACTGAACCCCCAACTGCTCCCCAGGCGCCGCAGCATCGGCTGCCCAATGCTCTGGGTGTGTGTGTGCACTTGGATGGGTTAAATGCAGAGCACAAATTCTGAGTATGGGGACACCATACTTGGCCACATGTCACTTCACTTTCACTTTCAATCACTCATATGTGATGAAATACATTAATCAATTTGACTCACCTTCAGTATGTTGAGAGTAGATGTTTGAAATCAGCACTAAAACACAAAGAGAAGAAACTCATTAAATTGTGAACACATTTGTCTATTTTATGTTATCTTATAATTTGTCTAGAGCTAATTAGCTAATTAAATAGAGCACAGATGATGATCTGGTTAAAAAAAAATCAGATTTAAAACATGCTAAAATAAATAATAAAACTAAAAAGCTTGATCTGTTTAGATTGAGTTTTGAGTGAGTTTCAGTTTTAAGGAAGCTTTTCATTAAAAAAACAAAAAGAAGATAATTGCACAGAATAAAACAGATTAAAACATATTAACAGTGGAAATGTTTCCAGATAAACATTAAAGCATCTGACTAATAGCAAAGGTATCTGAATATTTATTAGACAACATGGACAATAACTGCAAAACAAACCAACCATTACAAAGTACAAAACTGAATGACTGAACAAACACACTGATCTACAACATAATACATTTCTCTTTCACAAACAGCACTAACTGCACACTTCCTCTCTCAAAATCATCTTTCACTCATATATGGACTAGAGCTGGATTTGAAACTAAGAGCAGCAATAATAATAATAAAAATATCCAGCAATATATATATATATATATATATATATATATGTCACGTTACACTGCTGCGGGAAGAACGTAGGAGACACAGATTAGCATTCACAGTCTTTAATGATGAAAACACGTGATAGTCCACAATAGGAGCTGGGCAAACACACATAGAAACAAGTAGACATGACAGAGACAGACTGCACAGACTGGGACTTAAATACAGGAAATGATTGGGGAAACACAGGTGCATGGGATGACTAATCAAACTAAACATGACCAAATAAGGGAAAACAGGAACATAAACAGGGGCAAAACACGACACAGAACAGTCCAGAATCCTGACAATATATATATATATATATACATATCCATGAACACTGAATAATGTGATTATTTGCATAATATAATAGCAATTAACACCTACTGAAATACATAGACAGAAAATAATACTCACAGAGCACAAGAGGAAGTTGACTGAGCTCCATACTGACTGAATGATGACAGACGGTTAAAGACACAGACTGTGTTAAAGCCTCAAGACTTCCTGAAACCTGCAGCCAGATCTTTAGAAACATCAGGACAGATTAAAGACATACAAATGTACCTTGTGTCTTAAAAATACAGTAACGTTTTTAGAAAATGTCAGACTAACAAGCAAGTTTTCTATGGGAACGCTCTCATGAGTCATTCAGTATTAAACTGAAAACATATTTACCGTTATAAAAAGTTCTGTTCAGGTGATTTGTTTCATTTCCCTTGTTTAATGAACAAGGGAAATGAAAGAATATTTTGATGGCTTTTATTGCAATGGCAGTATTGTATTGTATTTATACATTTATTGAAATAAAGTGAACAACTGCTGCTCCTCCCTCATTGGTTAGTGCGGTGGAGCTGAAACAGAACAAACCAAACCAAACCAAATCAAACCAAACCACAACTATGAACTCACTTCTGTCTATATCTATCACACTCTGACACTGATGGTGTTTAGTTTGACTGATATATTTGTACCTGTGAACACAGTTTAATATTCATACTCAAAGACAAGGGATGGGCATTAAAACAAATTTAATGATTATGATTTCAGTTAATGAATCCATGTGCCTTTCTTGGTGAAGTATGTGATGCCTGTTGAAGAAAATATTCCATTTACCATGTATTTACAAACACTTTTAATGTGCTTTTATTAAATAACGTGTATCTTAAACTATGGGTTGTCTTGAACAACAGGTCAGTGTCTGTAGTCTCATGAGCCTTAAATACAAGATAACAGTAACATCAGAACAACAGAAAGTAAAAATTCATAGTCCAATAAGTTCTCCTTATTTCAGTAATCACTAGTCTTTATGATTCACTAAAAACAACCGTCTCATAAGAGTCATTTGTTCAGTAATTGTATTTCAGTTTTCACATTGTATAATTTTATATTTATATAAATTATTTACATTAAAAAGGACAGACTCAATTTATTTGTTGGAGAATCAGACTAAACTGGTCACTGTATGTTTCACACTTTTGACTGAGTAGTGACACAGTCAGTAAAAACTGTTATTACATTTTTTTCTTATAAACATTTTTGGAAAGATGTGCCTACATCAGACATGCATAAATATTTAACTGCAAGACTAAGATGAAAGAGGAAGTACTTTAGAAAGAAAAACAGTTTGCTTAACTAAGACACATTACTAAGAAGTTGATCATGCCATGATGCAATATAAACCACATGCAGTGTGAAGAGAAGCTCATACCAGTGGATTTCAGATCTTGTTTTATTAGTGCTTCATGCAGAATGAGAAATGTTAGTAAAACTAAACACATAAGAATTTTAATTGGTGCTTTTTTAAATGGTGCTTGAGAAGCATCAGTATAACTGTTGCTCATATACATGGTGTTAAAGTCTCACTCCAGTCAGAACCACAGGATGTGTAAAAATGCATGTAAATTTATTGGTTGTAGATACAAAACATGCAAGTTCAAGAATAGCTGCATTAACTTTAATAATTTATGTAGATTACAGTAGCATTACAAGTCAACAATCTGATCTCACAATGATCTCACCATGTCACAGCAGGCTATTTCTCTAATATTCGTCATATTTTTTAAACACAAAGTATATCAAAAGTTCAGTTTCCTTGTTTATTTTGTATTCTTTTCAGCCTGGTGTTGGCATTTGATACAAATATTTCTATTTGACAGATGCATTCAGATTCTGGTGTTGTTTTGGTGACTCCTTTTTTGCTTCGTAACCTCTATTTCCTCTCCCATTAAAAAACTTGACACATCCTGAAACACAGAGAGCAATCAATCAGTTGATAACAACTACTGTGATTCTACACCTGAGCTGGCAAGATGGGGTCCAGGGGCCTCATTTATAAAATGTTGCGTATAAACCGTACTCAATTTGTTCTAAGATCATTTCTCAAAAGTGCGTAAGTGCGATTCAGAGAAAACAAACATGCGCACAAAAACGCTCCAGTTACTGATGTAACCTCGGTTCCCTGAGATAAGGGAACGGAGTGTTGTGTATGGGGAAAACTCCTGTTTTACTCTGTACTGAAGCCTGATTTGTTCACTTTTGTGTAGCTGCACAAACCAATGGCGCTTTAGCCCGCCAGAAAGGGCGGAGCCGACGTGTATATAAGTCGGCTCGCAGCGCCATTTCATCAGATCATTCGACTGAAGCGACAGTCATCGATTCGCGTGCAGCTTATAGCACGGCAAGTGACACAATGCTCATTCCCTTATCTCAGGGAACCGAGGTTACGTTAGTAACCGGAGCGTTCCCTTTCGAACGTTCACTTCACGCCGTGTATGGGGAACACATCCAATCATGCCGTGCTATGAGCAGATACAGGACATCCTGCTCTGCGAGCCCGGTCTCGGAGCACTAATAAGGACCCCTAAGAACCTGAGCACATTGTGCTCCAAGCTAGTAGCTGAGAAGCAGCAATATAACCAACTTCGCCCAAGGGGAAATAGTGGAACATAAAACAGACAGAACTCTGTTTTATAACTAAGTTATAAAATCTGGCAAATGTGGACGGTGATGACCAGCCGGCAGTGGGGCCACTAGGAGGAGAGAGCACTTGGTCTCCCTGACCCGCCTGATGACCTGAGGAATCAGGGCGATCAGGGGAAATGCGTATAGGCGAGCACTGGGCCAGTCGTGGGCCAGAGCAGAGAAATATGTTGGGCAGTGAGGGTTGTCTTCTGAGGCGAAGAGGTCGAACTCTGCCACGCCGAAGACTGACCAGATTTTTTGAACCGTTTGAGGATGTAGCACCCATTTACCCGGGGCTACCTTGCCTCTGGACAGCATGTCTGCACCATGGTTCAATCTGCCTGGCACGTGAACCGCCCGTAATGAGAGGAGTTCCCTCCGTGCCCAAAGGAGGAGGCGATGGGCCATCCTGTATAGAGTGCATGATCTAAGACCAACTTGGTGATTGATGTAGGCCACCACTGTCATGCTGTCCAACCGGACTAAGACGTGGTGCCCCTTCAAGGTCGGTAGGAAGGTTTTCTGGGCTAAGAAAACCGCCAGCATCTCTAGGCAGTTGATGTGCGGACGCTGCTCCGGGACTGACCAGGAGCCGAACGCCGGATTGCCCTCCAACAGGGCGCCCCAACCTGAGTTGGAAGTGTCCATTGTGACTACCTTCCTCTTGGAGGTCAGCCCTACCCCATTCGCCCGGGGCTACCTTGCCTCTGGACAGCATGTCTGTGCCATGGTTCAATCTGCCCGGCACGTGAACCGCCCGTAATGAGAGGAGTTCCCTCCGTGCCCAAAGGAGGAGGCGATGGGCCATCCTGTATAGAGTGCATGATCTAAGACCAACTTGGTGATTGATGTAGGCCACCACTGTCATGCTGTCCAACCGGACTAAGACGTGGTGCCCCTTCAAGGTCGGTAGGAAGGTTTTCTGGGCTAAGAAAACCGCCAGCATCTCTAGGCAGTTGATGTGCGGACGCTGCTCCGGGACTGACCAGGAGCCGAACGCCGGATTGCCCTCCAACAGGGCGCCCCAACCTGAGTTGGAAGTGTCCATTGTGACTACCTTCCTCTTGGAGGTCAGCCCTAACCTCATTCCTGTTTGAAACAGGCGAGAGGACGTCCAAGGGGCCACGGCCTTGATACAGCGGTGGTCTATCCTGACAGAAAGCCACCCCAGGCGCCAAGCGTGGGGTGGAAGTGGGCTTTGAGCTAGTGCTGTGCAATTAATCGCATGCGATTGTCATGCGTATCTCGTCAGTAGATCCCATGATTGGTAGTAAATTGCCATCACCTGCTTTCAGATGGAGTGGCATTTAATACACAGAGCCGTAGTTCATTGACAAGCTAGGCGATATCGTGTTCATAATCGAATGCGATTCATCTGCGATTATGAACGCGATATTGCCTAATTGTCAGTGAACTACGGCTCTGTTTAGTGAATGCCGCTCAATCTGCAAGCAGGTGATGGAGATTTACTACTAATCACGGGACCGGCTTTACTGACGAGATGCGGCAATTAATCGCATGCGATTAATTGCACAGCCCTACTATGAGCCAAACTGGAGGGGCCGCACGTGAAGCAGACCCAGAGGAATTACAGAGGCAGCGGCCGCCATAAGGCCGAGTAACCTCTGAAAAACCTTCAGGGGACGCCTCGTCCCTGGCTTGAGTGATGCCGCTAATCGCTGAATGGTCAGCGATCGCTCCTAAGTCTCGAGTCTAAGATTGTCCCCAGAAAGACAGCACGCTGTCTAGGAAACAGGTGACTCTTGTGCGGGTTGATAACCAACCCGAGGCGCTCTAAGTGGCTGAGTAACAGCTCTCTGTGAGCAGCCAAATCCCGTTCTGATCTGGCTAGAACAAGCCAATCGTCGAGGTAGTTCAAAACGCGGATTCCCATCTGCCTCAGAGGGGAAAGAGCCGTGTCTATGCACTTCGTAAAAGTGCGCAGTTCCAGAAACAGTCCAATGGAAGGACTGCATATTGATAGGCCACTCCCTCGAACGCGAATCTCAAGAATGGTCTGTGACGGGGGGCTGTGTGGATGTGAAAGTACGCGTCTTTCAGATCCACTGTCAAAAACGAGTCCTCTGGGCAATTGTGCGTGAGAATCTGTTTGATAGTTAACATCTTGAACGGCCGGCGCATAAGCGAGCAGTTCAGATGTCTCAGAACCAAGATGGCTCTGAGCCCGCCGTCTCTCTTTGGAATGAGGAAGTAGTGGCTGAAACAGCCTGACTCGCTGTTTGCTGGGGGCACAATTTCCACAGCGTCTTTTTGCAAGCAATGTCTGCACTTCTTGTCGGAGAACGAGCGCTTTGTTGTCCGAAACAGAAGTTTGCATAACACCTCTGAAATGAGGTGGCCTGCGAGCGAACTGAAGCGAGTAACCTCATTGGATTGCGTTTAGAACCCAACTCGACCTGTCCGGTATGGCTGCCCAGGCAGATAGCTGGGATGCGAGAGGATCTATTTTGCGAAATGAAGGCT